TCTTTCTTTCTTTCTTTCTTTCTTTCTTTCTTTCTTTCTTTCTTTCTTGTTTTTTTTTTTAATCAGATTTGTTTTTGGTGTGTAGAAAACTAGTAATTTTTGTATGCTTGTTTGTGTTCTGCTATCTTGATGAAAATGTTTATTAGATACAAAAATCTATTGGAGTCTTTAGGATCCTTTCAACAAAGAATAGTGACATGCATATAGGGATAATATGACTTCTTTCTTTCTTTATTTTTTTGTCTGGGCCTTTTGGCATGCTTCCCCCTTCCTTGTAGTTCTGGCTGTGATTTTAAGTGCTACACTGAACAAAAGTGGTAATAGTCAACAGCTTTGCTTTTGTTTGATTTAGAGGCAATACTTTCAGCTTTTTCCCATTCAGTATAAAGCTGGCTACAGGTCTGTTGTATGTGCCATTTATTATGCTGTCTATGAACCTCAACCACCACTTTCTTCAAATATTTGATCATGAAGACTTGTTGAGTTTTGTTAAGGATTTTTTTTTCTGCACTGACTGAAGGTATTATATGATTTTTGTCCTTTATTCTATTATGTGCTGTGTTGTATTTATTGATTTGCATAAGTTGAGCCAAACTTGCATGCCTGGAATTAGATCCAACTTGATAACAGTGTGTGATCTTTTTTAATGTGTTATTGAAGTCAGTTTACAAGTAGTTTATTGTATATTTTTGCATCTAAGTTCATCAAGAAAAATGGTCATACTTTGTTGTTGTGTCCTTACCCAGTTTTAGTATCAGGAAAATACTGGCTTTGTAAATGAACTGAAAGCATTCATTCCTGTTCTACTTTGTGGCATAGTTTGAGGAGCCATTACATTAATTCTTTAAATATCTGGCAGAACTCAGCTTTGAATCCCTCTGGTCTTAAGGTTTTTATTTTTGGAAGCCATTTTATTGGTTCTTCAGTTCCATTGCTTTTAATTGTTCTAGTTAGAGATTTTTAAAATATCTCCTTGATTCAACTGTAGTCACATATCTCTAGAAATGTATTCAT